AAAAACGTCTCGCGATATTCATATCCCGTGAAAACGAAGGGGTTTGTAGGAAAAAAGGAAAAAAAAAGAAGAGCGAAATTAATAAAGCCACGTCGGCTATATCCGATGCGAGATTGAGCAAGAAATCCGGCGAAAATGACACGAATATCCCGCTTGAAGCTTCCCTTAGTCTCCCCATCACGCTGAAACGCGAAAGAATCGCTTTGATTTCTTTCAAGCGCGTTTCGACTTTCGCGATGGCGCAAATGAGAACGTTTAAAGGATCAGAGCCGTCACGTACACCTCACAGAGGATATCTCCGAGCATTTTTTTCTTGATCCGTCTTTCGCGTCGACGGAGGAAAAAAAGGTAGACACCAGTCTGCCGCTGCATCTCGACGATTTGCCTCGTTTTACTTCCTTGAAAAGGTGCCGCGGATACTAAAAGCTCCAGGCTTGTCGGTGCCTTTTTTTCGTTTAGGTGGAAGGCTTTAGAAAGATCGGTCGAGACGAGCACAAGAATAGTAAGAAAACACTGAGGAACTCCGCGAGGATAAAGCGCTAAGAGAAAGAGCCCGCCGTTAAGGCGCGGATCGATGTGCGTGCGTATATGTGTACGCGAGCGCGCGTCTGTCCGCGGCCGCGAATTTTTATCTACTTGTCGCGAAAGGCGTTTTATAATCTTCTGAAAATTGCACGCTTTTAGGATCGCACTTTTGTGCGCGCTGCCGGTAACGGTAACTGCCTCCATTTCCTTTCATTCATTAGATCGGCTTTTAGAGAGCCGGGCTCTCCTTTTCCTAGCCGGTGGTGTTCTTACGGACAAAACTTCAGTCGCGAGAGATATGCGATTAATCGCTCTCGTTAGAGCGTCCAACGCGTAAATTGCCCTCATTATGTAATATCTCGAGCAATTCGGCGCCGAGAGCTGATGTTCAGGATGGCTGAAATTTTTATTCGACGGCCGACGAGCGAGAAGGGACGTGCGCCGGCACGGAAAATTATGTATTCCGTCTGATCGTTTCCAGGCTTAACTACTGAGTCTTGCCATTTCTGCCGCAGTGTAGTTACACTTAAGTGAGCTACTTGTGTAAATACTAACGGAACTTCCCTTGACAACATACGTGAGCTTCACGAAATATTAAACACGAGATGTCCACATACCCACGCAAATATATGGCGCACGCACACGCACACGCGCGCGCACAAACGTACAAACGTCTCTGTAACGTAGCTACGTAGGACGGAACAATGCCGATTTTTAAAGCAGCAACAGCCGTATTCGGAATCCGTGTAATTCCGCCGAGTTCGTCTTACGGGCGAGAATTACCATACCATCGCGTAAATCGCGGCGTTTTCTCTCCACACAGACGCGAATAAACTCGGAGAGATCTTTGCGACTCCGCAGGGCCGAGCCGAAACTTAGCGCGATTTCAATCTCTGACGATAACGCGTCGGGAACGCGCGAGGTCCTCTTTAACGCGCTCTCGGAAGTTACGTTCCTCGCATTCTGAGGCGAAGTTCGACAACTCTGTTTTGCATTCGACGGAGATGTGCGTATAATACATGTATATATATTCGACATGATGTTTTAAGCGGAATGGCGGTGGCGACGACGAAGACGACGACGACGACGACGACGACGACGACGGCGGTGGTAGCGGCGGCGGCGGCGGCGGCGGCGGTGGCGAAGTGTTAAGTGGGCGCGCGAGGGTAAAGTGCCGCGAAGTTTTAACCAGTGACGTGTTAGCGGCGAAGTCGAGTGCACCGGTGCGAATTACATTCCTGCAACTCCGTTTTACAACATGGGCCAAGTTGCAGCGGCCGTATGTGCGTGCGCAAACGTGCGTACGGCCGGATACGGATGTGTGTGTGTGTGTGTGTGTGTGTGTGTTTCGCTCGTCGGTGTTTTATGCGTCGCGTATAAACGCGTGCGCGATGAATAACCACCTGCTTGCCCGCTATTTTTCGCGTCGTTTTGGCAACGACAACGGCAACTTCCCGCAGCGGCAATTTGCGCGACGACGATGAAGACACGTACACTTGAGGCTGTTACGAATTGTTGAGCGAATTTTCAACTCCGGTTCTCCGCTCGCGCCTCGTGCACACGTAGCTCATGTTTTCAACATTTTCGCACGTACACTCCTCTCTGTCCGTATCCGGAAAACAATTCTCTTCATCGTACAAATTCGTACAAATTTTATCGCTACGCGTGTTTCTTCTTACTTTTAAGAGATTAGCTTCTCAAACGAAACTCCCATGCAGAAGCGATTGAGGCGGTTTTGCGCGTAGAAATTACATAGAAATTGCGATGAATTTAATCCTGATGACCAGCATCGAGCTTACATAATTCGCTTGAAAGGTGTGCGCTATTATTATATTAGAAAATTCCTTCGCGGCCACGCGCACTCTTTCTCCACTCTGCTCTTGTGCACCCTCCATCTCTCGCTTTATTGTCCATTCACTGAACAGCAAAACCACCGCGGATCTGTTTGTCGACGGTTCATATACGGTAGTTCCAGGCCACAGCGGATTGTATAGTGACACCCGCGCGTAGTGTCACTGGGACATATGAAAAAGTATCAGGGAGAGCCAGCCATGTGCGTACGCCGAACGGCAAACACTCATTGGTCGGGAGTGTTTTTGGGTCAGCCGCCAAGTATATACGATTTTATCATGCTCGCGTATATAAGGAAGGCGGGAGTGGGAAAGCGAGAGCACGGTTAAAAAGCACGGGAAAAAACGAGGAGCGGGAAAAGAAACAGAAACGAGGTACACACACGCGGCGTGCATAATCGGCGCATGAAAGCATGCGATCCGTATCACGGGAGCGTATCGTTGTTATCCGCGCGAGCGCGCGACTCGTACTTTAGAATGAATTACTGAATCGCAAGCTACACGACACCGTGCGGAATAAATTAAACAGGATAATTACTTCGGGAGCTGAACATTAACGCCGCGACGGGATTGCGAGTATTAGCGTCTTACGCCACCCGAACATTTAATTAAGCTGCTTAGACTCGCGATTCGACCTCCCGGAGACGCGGCAACGCGATCTAATGCGAAAAGTCCATAAAATATGCCGAGTTGCGACGCATCCGTCAACCCCCTGTCCCCCTCTCTGCTTCGAATTCTCTTTCTCCCTTTCGCTATCTGGCAGGATATCATACAGTGTATTCTCTTTGCGCAAAATTTATGCAAAAACGACCATCGAGTGCCGCGCGACCATCAGCCCTTTGGCTTTTACCGTTTTATTCAGCCTCGCCCTGCACTGGCGCGTCCGAAATTATTCGACAATCATTTCGCCGATGAGGCGATAACAAAATTTTTTCTTCGTTTCGCCTCCATTACCACTCGCGTTTGCTTCCATATCTCGGAGCGTGTGTGTATTACCATCTGCTTTGTGCAATTCTAATCAGATTTTTTCGGTGTATTTTCTCCTCCACTGGCAAACGCAATTAGCGTTATACATTTTCGTATATCCGCGGTCCCGGGCGACTCCTATTTTCGACGACGCGTCTTCCGTTGTCACCGTCTCGTTGGCGCGCGGTTTATTTTATATTTCAGGTCGGCCGCGAAGCGCGCCGACGAAACACGCGCGACGATCCGCCCATAAAATCCGCGCACGACTCGCCCATTCTCGTTATCGACGCCGTTATAATGATCGATCGATCGGCGAAGATGCATCCGCTCGACGGGATTACAGGCTCTCGCAAAGTCGATCTGGCCGCATGCAAATATCGAATTTATTTTTTATATGCGGTCACTCTTGCGCGCGCGTATTAAAAGCACCGTAGTTAAAATGACGCAAAATAATGGCGATGAGCTGACGCGCGCGAGCTTTAACGCGTTTAATCGCATGTCAAAATTGCGGGGGAGAAAAATCATCGACGCGCGCGATGTCCGACGAGTCCGCGGATGTGCGTTGTGAATCATCACACATTCATTCGCGCGTGCGTGGCTTGACTTCGAACGTTAATCGATTCGCGCGAGGTATATTATGATCGTACGAGCGTATTCTCTTTCTCTCTCTCTCTCTCTTTCTCTCTCTCTCCTTCTCCTCCCCCTCTCTCTCTCTCTCTCTCTCGACGATCCTTCCCTCTCATCGGCCGATAGCAAAAAGCCCGGAGACAAAATGGCAATTTCGATATCCTTCGGGAAATAAACATTTGTACATGCCACTGGCAGGCGTTTACGCATGGCTTATTGAACATACACACATTTATACACATTTGCGTTGCAAATTACGTTATCGCATATATCGCGCGAAATCGGCCGCGTTGCCAGTTGGCGTACGCGCGCCCGCCTCGTTGTTCTCCGGCCTCTTTATTTCACGAGCATTATCGAGAAGAGCGGGTGCGCGCGAGCGCGCGTGCGTATGAAACACATTGTTTTCGGCGCTCGATATTAGCTACCCCGCTCCGCCCCGCCCCGTCCCGTCCCGTGGAAACTTATTTCGCGTAAAAAGATTATGCCGGGGTAATCCGGGCGTGTATGAATTTTCTCGCGCGGCGAAGTGACGCGGAAAGATCCTTTCGCGAATTTTTCCGCGACGGGGCGTCTCGTGGATTGAACGAAAGTGCGTGGCGGCGCAGAGAAAAGGCGGCGAGAAGCGAAGCGCGGAGGGAGCGTCGTTCGCCGGTGCATCCGCTTCAACGGCCAAGTTCTCGCGTTCCCTCTCGGTCCGTCGGCGCGCGGGGGCATCGACATGCCGCGTTATACTTGGACTTATCTCTGCGCGCGAACGGGCGGAAAATAATATCACGCTCGCGGAAAAATACGAGAGAAGCGGCGGCGCAAAAAGACACCGGCGCTCTGACATCTGCCAGCGGCAGCACGGAGCGGTCCATTTATTTCCGCGGGATTATCCGAATTTCAGATTCTCTTATCGCCGGCTTATGCGTTGCCAAGCTGGCTAATTAGCGCCCGGTGCTTGCTCTGCCGCGAATGCCAGCGGCGCGGCGCGGCGCGGCGCGAGTCGCCGAGCGTCCTTCTTCTTGCGAAATTTCGCTGGCTGCTTACCTTGTAATTCCCCACTTTTCTGATGGTGCAGGAGAGGGCGACCTCTTTGCCGATGGCGGCGGTCACGTTGCCGATCGGCTCGGAGAAACTCGGCACATCTGCAAACAGAGAAGAAGAGGGAGGTTGCGCGTTATGTTCCTCATTGAATTTGGCGATTTTGGGGATTCCAATCGGGCGCGCACGTGACTCTCTGTCGATCGCTGATAAAATGCAAATTGAAATCCGTATCCTTGGATACGGATTTCTAATTAGCCGCCCTATGTGATGCGGCTCCGTGGAAAAAGGGGGAACGAATGGACTGTTCTCTTCGCGCTCAGAGACTTTCCCGCGATCGTAAATTTTACTTCACGATGTCTTTCAACGTGGGTAATCTCTCAGGCGAGGCACTTGAGAGGGAGAGAGAGAGAGGTCAGATGTTTGTCACACTCTTGTATAATATTCGCCATTAAGTAATACTCGCCATTAAGTCTTGATAATAAATATCGAAAATTCAAGTTCCGAACTGCACTTCGAAGTAACGGAACGAGCAACGAAAGTTATACTCTGAATTACCGGAAGTTTTATGGCACTGTTCGTCCGCTGAATGTTTCATCGAAAACGGTCGCTGCAAGACAAGCGAAATGCAGCGCAGCAGACCGTTGAAAACATCGACACGAAGTGCTAAAAAGAGCCCGGCGAAAACGTTGATAAACGATGATATTTACGCGCAGAAGGAAACGAAAATATGGTCGCGCTCATTTATACGCGCGATATTCGGATCGCCCGCGGGATTTCGCGTTATTTGCACGCCGCAGGTCGGCGAATTCGGGCTGCTTATTGTGGTGCCACCGCGAAAACCGGACGCGTGTGCGTTTTACAATACTAATATAATAATAATAATAATAATATCGCGGGGTGCGCGAATATAAAACAAATATTTTACGACGCATTACTGATACATCGGCGATACGTCGCGCGTAAGCGATACGTCATGTCGCGGCGCGGTTATCAAGCTAATATCGCGTGTTGAACTTTCCGCGCCAAGCGCCGTTCCGTTATGAAATAACGTTTTAAATATTCGACCCAATGATATAAATCGTCATTTTATGCGGAGGTTAGTCCGCCTCTCTGCGCTTTGACAGATGCGCTTTTCACGTCATCCTAGAGGCGGAACGCACGACGGCGCGGCGCGCCGCCGTCAATGTTCATGATTCGTTACCCTCATTAAAATACGTTACTCACGCACGTGACAGCGCAGTAGCGACGATTAACTGCCTGTTGACGCGCGTATAATGATGCGCATTTCGAACGTTGAGCTATAGTTTTAATTTTCCGAATCGCGCGTTCTACGGCGCGCATGCACGCGCGCTCGATGTCTCGCCATGCATAAGAATCATCATCAGACGTCGCAAGACTGATGTGCGGCATGTTACGCGAAATGAGGAATATAATAATGAATATTCATCAAAATGGAAGAGCATGGAGAGGCGTTGATGAATTCTTCGCTACAATAGCGTTAATCTAAATTAACGTGAAATACCTCGTTCGTGGCTTTCGCTACGGGCACAGCATAGCTTACAATAAGCCCGCGCGCGCGTGTGTGCGTATGCGCATCTAATGTAAATGCCTCGTACGAAATGGTGTGTGCGAGAACATAGCTCGCAGGCAGCTACGCTCGCATATTGTGCGCGAATCTGAGCGCGAAGATAACTGAACAGAAATTACACATTTATCAGTTGCGTTATAGAACCACTCGCGACGACAATTGAGAGGAGGAGGAGGAGGAGGAGGAGGCGGGGGGCGGACTCGCGGGAAATGCGTTCTCGTCGATGGCCGCGTTCGCGTTAACCGGTGGGAATCGTTATCGGGGATTTTTCAATCGGTGAAATCCGGCCGGACGATCGTTGCCGCCTTTCCTTTCCTTTTCCATTTAAAAATCTCACGCGAAAACGCCAGCTGGAGCTGGAGGTCTCATTGTTCAATGTCGAGAGCAGTTACGCGATTTCGACAGGAGCTCGCGTGGAAGTATTTTCACTTTTCATCCCTTGCCGCCTCTCCCGAGCGGAATTACATAATTGATACATCCGAGCTGCCAAACTTGTCTGTAATAAAAAAGTCCCCTGATTCCTCTCCTTCGCTCTCTCGGCGATTCCGTAACGGTTTTATATTCGCGAAAAGCACCGGCGATCTCATTTGCCGCCGGCAGCGGCAAGGTAAAATCGAGCCCGGGCAAATACGAGCCGGGCAAAAGAAACGCGCAAAATCGAAGTGAGCTTATTACGAGGCGCTACGCTCTCGCGAGTGGCAACTCGTCGTTGTCGTCGTCGTCGTCGTCGTCGTCGTCGTCGTCGTCGTCGTCGTCGTCGTCGTCGTCGTCGTCGTCGTCGTTTCGTCGGTGCAGCTGGGCGGGACGCGGCGAGAAGGAAAAAACGGAAAGTTTAACGAACATATTCGGCTGTATCTCGCGCAGCACATGACGCAATATCGAAACGTGGGTGAGCGAGCTCAAAGTTTGCAAATACCGTCTCATCGGCGAGGCATGCTCTCGGGGCGATATGGGCGCGCAGCATCCGGCGGCCGTGGCGTCGCCATCGGTTACCGCATCGAACGGAAAAGCTTGCGGTCTCTCAAGCTGTGCCCGTCGAGCCGAAGACGCCGATGAAACGCCCGCGCCGGTTAGAACTGCTGGGTTCCTCGCGGCTGTTTCACACGCCGGACGTGGCGGTAGTTGTGCGGTCGACGGCTTCGCGGGGTCTGCATCGCCCGAGACCCGACAATCTCGCGAAAGCAGTGCCGATGGTATTATGATAAGATATTCACTGACAGAAACAGGAGAGGAAAGGAATTTTCAGCTTCTACCATCACCGCATCACCCCGTATCTAGAATGTAATATAAGGAGACGTGGGGGAAAATAGCGACGTTACCCGCCTCGAGTGGCCTCGTCGCTGCAGGTGGGATGGAGGGACAGAGAGATAGACAGAAGAGGGGGAGAGAGAGAGAGAGAGAGAGAGAGAGAGAGAGAGAGAGAGAGAGAGAGAGAGAGAGAGTGGCGGCAAGAAGCAAAGAACGAAGCGAGAGCGAAAGAGGAGAAGAGAAGAAAAGAGAAGAGAAGAGGACAGGAGAGGAGAGGAGAGGAGAGGAGAGGAGAGGAGAGGAGAGGAGAGAAGAGAAGCGAGGAGAAGAGAGCAGAGGAGAGTGCTCTCTTGAGGCGGATGATGCTGCGAACGATGTATGTGTGTGTGGGTGTGGGTGCGCATGCACCCTCGTATTGGTTTTATTTTATGGCGAAATTATTCCGGGAGAAAAATAATTCAATCTCCGCGCAGTACAGGGTTACGGTGGCTCCGTGCTGCCGTCGAGTACACTGGCTTGCCTCCTTGCGGACCCGGAACGCCGATCGAAGGGACCGGAGAGAATGCGCGGATCGGCTTTCACTTTCGGCACTCGACGTCGACGAGGCGCCGATAATCGCGTGAAAAATAAAGGCACGCCTCGTCGGGGGAAAATTGATCCCGCCGTCGTTGTTTCTTCGTGTCTTGGCTTACTGGGAGAGCGGCGGACGACGGGCGACAAATTATTTACGCGACACGGTCGCATACGTTTTTTACGGCGGAGCTCTTTTTTATCTTTATTATTTTTGTTCCTCCCCCGTAAACACCGTCGGCCGGGCAAGTGATGACCTATGCATTATTGAAGCGAAATTTCGTAGCTCGCGCGGAACGGTGGCGCAATCGAAACGCGAATTTCAAACTCGAAGAGACTCCTCGGAAATATTTCGAATTTACATATCACACAGCAGGAAGGATGGTTATTTTAAAAAATGCTTCAAAGTACATCGACCAGTATTACATGTTCCGGAAAAATTTCAACTTTGTGGTCCGGACTTCTTTTGATAGATTGGGAATGACTATAATCGCCGCGGAGAAACCGTCAACTATTTGAAATATCAAAAAGTTCTTTTGAATTTTCATGTTTCATGCAAGAGTCTGGTAAAAAGTACGCGGGTGTGCTGTAAATGAAAATTTCATATAGCAATCCAAGTGGCTAAACGTCACAAAAAATGAAATACCAAATTTCACGAATTCAAGATCGTTATCGCTTCCGATTTGGAATTGACGTTCGTTTTTCAATTTTTTCAAAACTTTGCGAAATTTCGTGTATTGATTTGACAATATGCGAGGTGACGCGAACATGCAACGTAAATTGATACAAGCACGCCTATGTAAAATATTTTTTTCAATTTTTAAAAATATTAAACTTTCTTTTTATGCGTAGCTTTTAGCGTACGGTTTATCTCGTATGGGAATATTTCGAAAATACGAATCTCCAAATATACATATTTAAAACGAAAATAATAGCGTGGAGATAAATGGGATAAAGTTAAACTAAGATACGTGCTGAATGTAATCCGCCATTGTATTATATTATATATCCGACTAATACGTAAATCGTAATAAAATTTTTTAATTCAACTCCTGCAGTCAGTTATTTCTCTCTTTTGCAAAAATCGGAAACGGGTATTACGCGCGTTGATTTCACTCGCGCGAGAAATTGCATCTCCCGACACATTTTTTACAGTTTCACATCTCGCTAGATACGTCAAGTTACGATCATGATTGCGGGCGAATGCGCTAACGAATAAAGCAGCGGCGGTCAGTAGTAAAGGTAAGGCACAAGCCCGCCGGTCGGTCGGGCGTCGTTATTCCCTTTCGCGCCGTAAAACACGTAACTATGTTAGCAGCTTCGAGCAATCGAGATTCGAGCGCGATACAACGGCTGCTCGTTTCTATAGCAGCTTCTCTGCGGGAAGCCTCTGGCGGTGAGAAACTTGATATCGAAATAAATGGCCGGGCCGTATCGCGACACCGTAAAGAATCTGAGAGAATTCGGGCGTGCACGACGACGTTAAACCAAACAATATTGTATTCGTGATACATGTGAACACCAGGTATCCCGATCGAGCGATAAATCCGTCAGATCGGAGCATTAAAAAAAAAGAGAGGGAGAGGGGGAGGAGAGCGCAGAGGAAAAGAGAAATGAAACACGACGTATAAATAACGGGAAAAGTTAGTGCGCGGCGAATACGTTACAGAATTTCTTTTTTCCCTCAAATTACTC